GTGAGTAGATAAAATGAAAAGGGACCTTGATCAGGAAAGGTACAAGGAACCCATCAGAGAATGTTCAAGAGAAAAATAGGGGTGAGAGAGGGAGAACATCCAGAATCTTGATTATACTGGCAGTGATCACTGGTAGAGCAGGTACTGCCTACTCCGGATGTGCTATCTATACTTTGTATGTATTTGCTCGTTTAACCCTGAAACAGCGCTATGAGATGACATTATTGCCTCTACAGAGAGGAAACAGGTTAAGGAACTTGCCCACAGCCACAGAGTAGGAGGGTTTGAACCAGACACCTGGCTCAAGAGCTGATGCTACAGACCACTTGCCCTGGGCAGGAGAAAGAAGCAGCAAAAGCAAACAGAACACAAAAAAGTCACCAAAGAAACTGAAGGAAATCTTGAAGAGTCAACTAGTTTTACCTGGTGATGAGGGCCAGCATAATGGAACACAGGAAGTGCAAGAACAGCGCAAGTGATCAAAAGGATTCAGTAACAAAAACAAAACAAAACAAAAAACACTTTGCAATAATAGAACATTCTTTGCAAATGTAAAGTGTATCCAGTCAAGTCAAAACACTTTCCTAGCATGGCATTGATAGTTCATGCCTCTAATCCTATCTAGGAGGCTAAGATTGAAGGATCACAGTTCAAAGGTAACCCAGGCAAGAAAGTCCATGAGATTCTTTTTTGTTGTTGTGGGGCCTGAACTCTGGGCCTGGGCGCTGTCCCTCAGCTCTTCAGCTCAAGGCGAGCGCTCTACCACTTGAGCTGCAGTGCCACTTTTCATGAGATTCTTATCTCCAGTTAGCTACCAAAAACCTGGAAGTAGAACTGTGGATCAAGGGATAGAGCACCAGCCTTGGGTGGAAATAAAGCTAACAGACATTGAGAAGCCCTGAACTCAAGTCCTAGTACTAACACACACAGGCACACTTACACTTCAACTTTCATAGCTAAATAAGTACTTTCAAACAAGCATCTCTCCAGCAAAACATTTTCTCTGATTCCAATGTAACTTTTCAAAAGCAGGTCCTTGCCTATAAACTCTCTGAAAGTCAAATGTGTATTCACTGATTTCTCTATCGCCAAAGCACCTGGTGTATTTGGCAGGTTCTCCCCCAATCTCCCCCCTCAAGAAAGCAGTGTGGCTGCTTTTGTTTATGTGCCTAGAAACCATGCCCTTTCTCACGCCAGCTTGTTTGGGGCTGAAGATGTTCGGTTCCCAGGGTTCCTCTGAACCTTTCTTATGGGCAGGAGTCCACTTGGCAATTCACCAGATGTCTGCAGCCGAGGGCCTGGGGCCGTACTCCACAATCGCACCCTTGAGTTCGTTCCTGCAGAAGCGGGGGTGGATGCCATCTGGTTCAGGGATTTATTTACATTCAGTTTGTTACGGAGGCCTGGAGCATCCCACAGGCTTGCACTCCTTCACTTAATAACTCCAACCTTTCTCCTGCAAAGACACCTTCAGAGTGGGACTCTTTCCAAGTCTCTTCTAGAAGATGAAAGCAAGAATTCTCTGGGACTGGCAGGCGCTGATTTGATCCTGGCTGGCCCACTGCCTCTTTATTTCTCTTTCTGTCTATTTAGAGGAACTCTGTTTATCAGGCCTTATGGTCCCCTGAACGGTGCTTCTCAGAATCAGCTCTGAGCCATAGGAGGCCTGGTGGGACATGTTTGAATCCATCTATAGCCTCCACATCTACCACAGATGCTGCGTTCCCACGATGACTTACTGGACTGCGGCGTGACCAGGTGCTTGCTGGGGCTTGCCATCCAATTCCCGCACACCTCTTCCTCTGCAGCATCAGGTTTCAGCCAAATAACTTCCAGTGAGTTACTTTCTCTTGTATAAATTTTCTGTGTGTGTGTGTGTGTGTGTGTCTTAAGTTTTGTGGGATAGTGGAATTTTATTTTATTTAGTTGTCAGTCAGGGGGCCTGAACTCTTGGCCTGGGCGCTGTCCCTCAGCTCTTCAGCTCAAGGCTAGTGCTCTACCACTTGAGCTACAGTGCTACTTCCGGCTTTTTCTGCTTATGTGGTACTGAGGAATCAAACCCAGGGCCTCATGCATGCAAGGCAAGCACTCTACCACTGAGCCACCTTCTCAGCCCTCTCCTGTATAAATTTTCTATCTGCTATGGCATAGCTTGTGCTCTTGTAAATGTTTTATTTTAAAAGTGCTTCCTAGCCAGGTGCTGGTGACCTGCAATCCTAGCTACTCAGGAGGTTGAGATCTGAGGATCACCGTTCAAAGCCAGGCCACACAGGAAAGTCCGTGAGACTCTTATCCAATCAATTACAGAAATGACCAGAAGTGGAGCTATGGCTTAAGTGGTAGAGTGCTAGCCTTGAGCCAAAGAAGCTCAGGGATATCTAGGCCCTGAGTTCAAGCCCCAGGATTGGCACAAAACAAAAGTGTTCCATTGTTTTTTCCTTTTCTTCTTTTTTTTTTTTTCTGGTCTAGGGGGCTTGAACTTGGTGCCGCCTCATACTCACATTCAACAGGCGCACTGTCTGTCTCAGCCTCCTGAGCAGCTAGGAGTACAGGCGTGAGCACTGGTGCCCAGCACAAGCTTGGGTTTTAAAGCTGTCATTACTTGGCCACTTACAGACTCAGGAACACACTGTACATAATGATAATATTAATGTTTGGGTTTGGTTTGGTTTTTTATCTACAGCAAGTGAAGACTAAACCCAAGGCCTCAGGTTTGGCAAATGCCTGAGCCTTCGCTTAGCACCTACCTCTCCCTTCTTTTTGTATTTTGTTCCTGAGATAGGGTCTCACAAGCTTAGCCTAGGATGGCCTCAAACTCTTGATCCTGCTGAGCAGGTGGGATTATAGGTGTATGCCACCACATCTGGCAAGCTTAATATTTTGAGAGTTGTATGTCAAATGTACCTTTCTACCTGCCCCATGTGTCCTAACCTGACTAGTCCCTAGAACAGCCCCAGGAGCCAGGAGCCAGTGGCTCACGCCTGTAATCCTAGCTACTCTGGAGGCTGAGATCCGAGGATCACAGCTCAAAGCCAGCTCATCAGGGAAAACCCACGAGACTCTTATCTCCCATAAAACCACCAGAAAAACAGAATTGGTGCTGTGGCTCATGTGGTAGAGTGCTAGCCTTGAGCTGAAGAGCTGAGGGACAGTGCCTGGACCCAGAGTTCAAGCCCCACAACAACAAAAAAGAACAGTTCAAGGAGACAGATGCTATTACCCATTTTACAGAATGAAAACTAAGGCAGAAAGCCAAGGTATTTGCTTTATGTAGTGGGCCTAAAAAAAGAGCAGAGAAAATTGACGCCAGGCAGCCTCAACTCCAACGAAGGGGTAATACCACTGTGCTACTCGGCATGTTTCTCCAACTTTAGCAGAAGGCACTGCTGCCCTGGAAGGCCCTCCCCCAGCCTGCCTTACCCAGTGCTAGTCCCAGTCCTTTAAGGGTGACGAGGTCTCCTGGGACTGCCACCTGTACTCATGTGACACTCCAGCTGAGTTTCTTTGTGTCATTTAGTAAAACTGCTTTCTACCTTGTCTGGATTCTCCTACAGTGCGTTGTGTGCAGATTTACTATGAGTAGCCTTCAGCAGCAGCGATGCACCAGCCTGCTTCCCTGCAAGGTCATGTCCAACAGTACAGCCTCCCACAATGCCCTGTGCCCTTGCCTCACACCTCGGCCATGCTTCTGTTTCCTAAAGATCCAACACAGCCAGGCACAGTTGCGCGCTTGGCATTCTTACAACTAGAGTGGGAGGAACTCTGCAGCCTCAACAGTTCAATCGTTCACTTTCTCTTAGTACTCCTCCAGTCGGGTTAACTGAGGTGTTACCAACGCCACACACAAAAAGCCCAGTGTGGTTCTGTGGGTTACTTACTGCCCAAAGGCCTCTAGTCTATCTGATATCCAATGTGTTTTTTGTTTCAGTGTTTATTTTTGTTTTTTGGCAGTACTGGGGTTTGAGCACAGGGTCTCGTACTTGCTAGACAGGAACTCTACTGCTAAGTCGCACATCCAGCCACCGCCCCCACCATTTGTTATTTTTGAGATGCGTATCACTTCCTGCTTGGGTAAGTCCCTGGGCCATGGCCCACCTATTTTAGGCTTCTTGTCATACTAAAATAACTTTTCTGCTCAGGCTGAACTCAAACCAGGATCCTTCCAATCTCAGCCTCCCAAGTAGCTAGGAGTATAGGCAAGAGCTGCCAGAAACCAGCAGCTATCTACTAAGCAACTAGCACAGCTTTAAAGCCATAGAGACCTGACCTTGTGAACTGCTGACAGCTGTTGCAGGAATTCCCTCCCCTTCCTGAGCGGGCGCAGGGCCTGTGGTCTCACCTGATAAGGCTCCCTAGGCCTGGCTCACAGTAAGTCATTTAGACTTCATGTTCTCTACATCCTGCTCCACCTCAAACACATTAGCAAAATTGATAGCTCACCCTGGCACACGGCCCTCTGGCCCCTCATCCTCATTTATTCTGGGATGTCATGTATGCTGCTTGTTGGCAGAAGCTATGGTTCTTTAATCAGAGGCCTGCAGCCTGGCACCACAGCCAGAACCAACTCACAGAAGTCAACACATCATCACCTTGCTCTTCCCAAACCCTTCTTGGGCAAGCAGGCATGTCTTGCCAACTCTCCTGTGTGCTACCGCCTAATCCCACCTCCAGAGCCCGCTGCACTGCTCCGCTTCGCGGTGCTGCTCCTTAGGAAAAAACACTGAGGGACTGGAAGTATGGCTTGGTGGTAGAGTGCCTGCCTAGCATGCATGAAGCCCTGGGTTCAATTCCACAGTACAGAAAAACAAACAAACAGAAAAAGCCAAAAGTGGTACTGTGGCTCAAGTAGTAGAGTGTTATCCCTGAACAAAAATCTCTTCTGAGCCCTGTTCTCCCCTCCTGCTCCAGTCAGTTGGTGGCTGCTGCAGCATCCGCGGTCCACATAGCCTACCGAGGGCTCTGCCACCCTCATGCTCATCCTCAGCCCAAGCTGAGCTCACCTGAAAGTCTTCTTCATCCAGGATCTCTTTCCTCCACTTGATCAAGAAGGCCGCACACACGTAGAGATGAAAGTGGGAGAAGCCTTCCGGTTCAGACTGGGAAGAAGAGAGCAGGTCAGGCCCCCAAGCCATGCGCCGAGAAGGGAACCCCCCCCAGTCCTCCCACTCACACCCCTTCTGGATGGCACAAAGCGGCGCCATACCCTCCTCACCACAGGGCAACCAGAAGGGGCTCAGCGAAGGGCTGACCATGAGGCTAAGGCATTCATGGGAGTAGAAAGGAAGTGGAGGGCATTTCTGAGCTGCCGTGCCCCACACCATGGCAGGGAGCTGGGCACTCCAGGACAGCCTGGCGCAGGAGGAGGCAGGGGACCCCTTTTACCTGGTATGTGTCCCAGAGGCGGATGGTGCAGCGAAGAGGAAGCTCCCGCATGAGCAGGTTGTTCATCCATCGGAAGGCAAACTGTAGGTATTCGACCTCGTACCTCCTGAAGTGATTGTGTACCTGCTCTGGAACAGGAAGTGTCATTGGCCTCGGGGACTGACCCTCAGGCCTGTAGGAGCCAACAAGGCAGATCCCATTCCTTACCACCCCTCACTCTGGGGAGCCAATCAACAAGGGGAACATGGGTACAATGGGCCTCTGTGCTTGCTTGCATCCTCTCAAGGCAGCACACACATATAGCCAGCCCCGCACACAGGGCGACAGTGACATCCCACAGGGACGCTCGGTGCCCTCTTCCTTCACAGGCTGCTCTGGCCGCAAAGCAGGAGACATAAGGTTCATTTGGCTGCTTGATCTCATTACTCATCCGAGAAGGCTCCAGAATGGAAAAGAACCTTGGAGGTCACCTTAGCCATTCTCCCACTGGCGAGGAATTCCTCTCAGGTTCCTGACAGATGGCCAGCCAGCAGGGACTTGAACACCGCCAATGGAAGGGGCTCGCTGGCCCCACTCAAGGGCAGCGTCTCCCACAATGTGTGCGGCGATCCACCAGATCAACAGAAAGCAGCCGCCTCCTCCTCCCACCCCAGGAGGCCCAGTGGCATTCTGGAGCAAGGAAGTCCACATAAACTCCATCCCTATGCCACCAGACAGCCCTGCAGCTCATGCCCAACAGGACTGTTTGCTCATCTATAAAATGGGGACAATCATCCACAGCTCAGAAGGCTTTAGGGAGGATAAAATGTGAAAATGTGAGAAAAGAGCTTATCATATCACCTAGCCTGGAGTAACTAATAGTATTCTTTTTTTTTTTTTTGGGTCCGGTCATGGGGCCTGAATTCTGGGCTTGGGCACTGTCTCTCAGCTCTTCAGCTCAAGACTAGCACTCTACCACTTGAGCCACAGCGCCACTTCCGGCTTTTTTCTTTTTGCTTATGTGGTGCTAAGGAATCAAACCCAGGGCCTCGAGCATGCAAAGGCAAGTGCTCTACCACTGAGCCACCTTCCCAGCCCACTAATAGTATTCTTGAAAGAATGATTAACAATGGTTATTTATGGGGAGGAGAACTTAAGGAGGGGGAATTCTAGTTAGGTTACCGTTGTCTGCATTTTTAAAACTCTTATAATAAGAAAGCAGAGAAGTGTGTGTGTGTGTGTGTGTGTGTGTGTGTGTGTGTGTGTGTAAAAATCTACTACCCAAAAGTATCATGCTTAAAATCAGTATTTGAGAGGGCAGAAAATAAAAGCATGGGGAGGACAGAGGCAGAAGCCCCACCTCTGCCCTCCGGAAGAGGGAAGTGATGATCAGCCTCTGGCAGCCAGCTGAGCACCTCAGAGGAAGGCCCATGTGAGGCTCTGGGGGAGCCACGTGAGAGAGCGGTACCTGGCACCGCAGGGCTGACAGCTGACAGGATGGGAAGACAAAGGAAGACAGATGAGGGTGGAAGCTTGCCGTCATAAAAAGAAGCTGGAGTGAGTAGAATTAATGAAGGAAGGTTTCCAGGAAGAGACTTAGGAGAGACAGAAAGCTGTGCTACCTCCATGTGAGGGAAAAGGAAAGTCTGAACAGAAAAAGCAAGAGTTAGAGGGGTGCCAGTGGCTCACACCTATAATCCTATCTACTCAGGAGGCTGAGATCTGAGAATTGTGGTTCAAAGCCAGCCTGAGCAGGAAAAGCCTATGAGACTCTTATCTCCAATTAACTACCAGAAAACCAGAAGTGGTGTTGTGGCTCAAAGTGGTAGAGCACTACATAGCAAAAAAGGTTCAGGGATAGCGCCCAGACCCTAAGTTCAAGCCCCACAACCGGAAGAAAGAAAGAAAGAAAGAAAGAAAGGAAGGAAGGAAGAAAGAAAGAGGGAGGGAAGGGAAGGGAAGGGAAGGGTAAGGAAGGGAAGGGAGAGGAGAGGAGAGGAGAGGAGAGGAAAGGAGAGGAGAGGAGAGGAGAGGAGGGAAGGAGCGAGCAAGAGTTGATGTTGTTTGTTAGTGTGGTAACTGCAGAGTCCCTCACTGGTGCCAGAGACGCCATGCCCAGGAGCCTCCCTGCCGGGTCAGTGTGCTCCTCAGGAAGCTTAGCTGACTTCTCTCCTGATCTCAACAGGAGGGCTTCCCAAAGTCTGTGATTCTAGCACAGGCAGGCTACCCCTGTGGAGTTCCTGCTCCTCAAAGACATCTGCTTCAGGAGTCATCTGTCCTTGAGTCCCCAGAGAACAAATGAAGGTCCAGCCGGGGTATGCCACACTGCTCCAAGCCCAGGAGTGCAACAGCAGGACAAGGCCAACCTACTGACTTGAGGCCAGTGGGGAGCCAGCAGGGACCCCAGAGCAGAAGAGAGACATGGCCAGAATGGGGCTGTAGAGAAACGCTTTGAGAGAGACACAAGTCGGGGGAAGGGGGAAAGTCCTTTAGAAGGAAGTGGCAGAAATGTGACAACGGTTGGACTAGAGCTATGTGGCTCGGGTAACAGAACAGATAGAACAGAGAGGTTGAAGGAGAATTGACAATGGGGTAACAGAAGTCTAGGGGGAAGGATGAACTCAGGAAAGCAGCAGAGTTTTACCTCCCCTTCTGGCTGAGACAGGGAAGATACTGTAGCTACCGATAAATAACAGCCTGTGCCTGGAAAGGTTCATGGCCCAAGTACCGCTGGCTCGTGTCAGGGCAAGGCTGAGCTACGGCTAGAGAATTCTGGCTCCTTGAAACCTACCATCAATCCGGCTAACAAGCTCTTCCAAGGCCTTGACCTTCTTCTGGATCCCTGGCTGTGCAAAGGTATAGTTATCCTGCAAATGCAAGAGAGCCCAGGATGAACACATGGAGTCTGCCATGATTAGCCCTGGGCTCCCTGTAACATGGTAAAAAGCACAGGTGTTCTTCCCAAACCCAGTGCTCCTGACTGCCGACGGTGTTTGGGAGAAAAAAAGGAACTAATGCTACAACAGTGTTTATGTGGGTGAGAGCCCTTTATTGTGGAATCCCACCCGTGGGTTCTGGGCACACAGAAGAATGGAACTCACTCTGATGGTAGAGCCAGATCCCCACCCCACAAAAATAGCCTCAGGCTCTGAGGACACAAGGCCACAGGGAAGCTAATGAAAGAGATAGAGAGGCCATGGTGGGCGGGTAGCCCTGCCTCATTGAGAAGAGCAATGAGTTAAAGACAGGCCCCAGGCCTACCCGGCCTGCAAGGGCCGAGGCAACTCACCTGGATCCCATCCAGCAGCTTGCTCATGCACCAAAAGCTGTCAGCTTCAATGCTTCGCAGTATATCCTGAGACAAGTTGGTCACGTCAAAGTTCTCCACATCCTCTTCTGTAAAACAAAAGGTGAAGAAAGTCCAGAGGTCTTATCTAAAAATGGAGAGAGAAAAATAAGAGCCTAGTGTCTTCAACAGAGTCCTTCAGGCCAGGGGAGAACCAGGCTACGTTGATGTCAAGGAATGAGGCTGCCCTATTCCCCTTAGGACCCTCACGACACTGAGCAGGAAGAAGACCTCCTTACAGCACTAAGCAGACTTTCACTGAGTTATTAAGTCCAGCACATGTTTCTTTTTCTTTTTAATTTCAGATATTCAGTAAGCTGTCTACCATACTCACACACATGTCTAGTGAGACCAGCTGGGATCAGGCACCACCCCACACACACACACTTCAAGGTAAGATGGACCCCAAATGCTGATGCTTGGTCTCGCTGTTGAGAAGTAAAGGGATACAAGAGAAGGAAGAGGTATCAAGCCCGGGGTACTTTTAGGGTTTAACTCCAAGTTGCTATTTCCCAGGATGGGTTCAGGCCAAATGCCAGTCCCATAGGACACAGGCAAAGGAGGAGCTCGTGAACAAACACGGATGAGCAACACCACATTTTACATCACCAGCTTTGAGAGCCACCAAAATCAGAGCATATGAAAGCGGTCGAGAAGTTACAAGGAAGTCAGCAATAAGTAAATCTATTCAACTTAGTTTATGCAGTACTTTCCATGCTTACTTAGCTACAAGACCTCTTTAACGCTACTAGCTTCTCATGGGAAGCCCACAGTATGTAAGCAATGGGAACAAGAAGTCTGGTTTGGCATGTAGCAAGGAGAACATAAGAGACCCACAAAAACCCTTCAGCCACAGAGAGGGGAAGCAGTTAGAAAGGCTCTCCTGCCCCACAGCACAGCCACATTGCATGTCGGTGAGAGGACAAGAAGAAACATTCAGTCCCTTGAGTTCTGCATCAAAGGCAGCTTCTTAGCTCACAGTCCTACTCTGAAAACAAAATGTTCCCTGCCGTCCCTTGTGCCACTGGACACAGACTTCTGAACGCAGCCCTCTCATTGATGAGAATTATGACTAAGACCTATGTCTTGACCTATATCATGACCAGTGGATTCTCATTCATATTAGTAGGTGGAGGGCGATGTGTGTGCACATGTGCTTGTATTGGGGTTTAAACGTCAGGGCCTGAGTGCTATCCCTTTTTTGCTCAAGGATGGTTCTCTGTCACTTGAACCTCATCTCTACTTCCAGCTTTTTTCTAGTTAATGAAGATGAGTCTCATGGAGTCTCATGAGACTCATTAGCCTGTCTGGGCTGGCTTCTAATTGTGATCCTCAGATTTCAGCCTCCTGAGTAGCTAGGATTACAGGTGTGAGCCACCACTGCCCCATTCTCATTCTTCTTGAAGAGCTGTTTTGTTTCTGTTTCTTTTGGTTTGGTTTGTTTTTGTGCCGGTAATGGGGCTTGAACTCAGGGCCTAGGTGCTGTCCCTAAGCATTTTTGCTCAAAGCCAGCATTCTACAACCTAAGCAACAGCTCCATTTCCAGCTTTTCTTTGTGTATATGTGGGGATGGAGGGAAAGCCTAGTCTGGCTTCAAACCACAATCTTCGGATCTCAGCCTCCTAAGTAGTTTACAGATGTGAACCACCAGGCCCGGGCTGTTCTTTTTTTTTTTTTTGTCAGTCCTGGGGTTTGAACTCTGGGCCTGGGCTCTGCCCCTCAGCTTTCAGCTCAAGGCGAGCGCTCTACCTCTTGAGCTACAGCGCCACTTCCGGTTTCCTAGTAGTTTACTGGAAATAGTCTCATGGACTTTCCTGCCCGGGCTGGCTTTGAACCGTGATCCTTAGATCTCAGCCTTCTGAGTAGCTATGATTATAGACGTAAGCCACTGACACTCGGCTTTTGTTTTGTTTTTTAATGGACATCAAGGGCTATAAGAAACAAAACTCCTCTTGCAGACAGTGGAGTACTTTGTCAGAAAAGTTGTGATCCTAGGAAAGAGGTAAAGTCTAACTTGAAATGTGGTTGTGGTTAACATGTACACAGTGACGCCCCCATGCCTAGCACATAACAGGCACACTACTTAAAGATGAGGTGGTTTTTGTTTTTTGGTTTTTTGGTTGTGAGGCTTGAACTTGGGGCCTGGACATTATCCCTGAGCCTCTTTGTTCTCAAGGCTGGTGCTCTACCACTTGAGCCACAGCACAACTTTAATGGAGATAAAAGTATCACAGGGACTTTTCTGCCCAGGCTGGCTTTGAACCATGATCCTCAGATCTCAACTTCCTGGTAGGTAGGATTACAGGCATGAGCCACCAGTGCCTGGTTACAAAGTTTATTAGGAGTAAGTATGTAATAACACAGGAAAGCATGTTCCAGTGGTAAGGGGAAGGAATAAAACATAAAATTATATATGGTAGACTCTCAACTACTATACATACAATATTTATGTATGTTTACATAAGCACAGGAGAAAGATAAAATATATCACAAGGTTTATAGTGCTTATTCCCCAGGAGGAAGAAATAAAAGACTTTATTCTCTTTAAGCTTTACTGGACTTTTCAAAATTTCTACAATAAGCATAATTTTTATAGTCCCTGAAAATGCACATTATTTAGAAAAAAAGAACCACAAACTGACTACACTTGCTTTTTATCATCAAAATGGAATAAAAAAGGCTTGTAAAACAACCTAAGCTTATAGAAGCAAAGGATTCAGATAACATATAAAGGTCTGAATGAAAAACCACATGTAAAAAGCCCTCCAAAAAAAAAAAATCCTTTGCCTTTGCCTTAACTTAAGCATTTATTACATAATGTTTTGAGGTGGCATATATATTACTTTAATCATACTGCACCATAACAAAGGCCCAGCTCAGAATCCTGCTTTATGTTTGTGCTTCCACCTCTAGGATCTTTCCGGGTTGCTGTACATACTCTAACTCGTTTCTGCCCAGCGGGCCTCCCTGCCACTTTGCTTCCTCAGGGATAGAGCCCACAAACAATGCCATGCCCTTGGAGCCTGCAAGAGAACTGGTGGGTTTCAGACTCGGGCCGCCCATTCTCAGGAGCAGCTTCCCAACTGGGTAGGAAGGAGGAGGCCCTCTCCTCATCAGGAAGTGTGCGCTCCGTTCCCCTCCCCTCCCCTCCCCTCAGCAGCAGCTCCTTTACCAATAGAACAGAGCTACAAGGAAACTGTGACACCCACAAGAAAGGCTCCAGACAAAGACCATTCCCACTCCTCATGCATTTCCCACAGGAAGATCCAGAGCCCCATCACAACTAGAAGGGTCTTCTCCAACCTGGGCATACTCAGATTCCAGAACACACACTGGGATACCATGCATTGCACAGCCACAAGGGGCAAGGGGGAACTCAGCCTACCAGCCAAGCACAGACTCGGGAGCCACACTGAGCCCAAATCCTGACCACCACGCATTCACAACAACTCACCTGGCAAATGACTGCCTTCCCCGGCCCACTTCTCACCTGTCCTATCACTATCATATCAAGAATAGTAGGAGGATGATATTGAGTTAAAATATGGCAAGTGTTAACAACAGCCCCGCATGAAATAGGCATCATGTAAATGTGAGCTAGCATTATCACAACTGTTACATGAACAAATAGGCTTCGACCTTGACATTTAAAATCTCTATTATGTAGCCTTGCCTAATCTAAAGCAACAAACCTGCAATCCCAAAACATGCCTTAAAAAAAAAGTCAATTTTAGTGGGTGCCGGTGGCGCACACATGTAATCCTAGCTACTCAGGAGGCTGAGATCTGAGGCTTGTGGTTCAAAGCCAGCCAAGGCAGGAAAGTCCGTGAGACTCTTATTTCCAATAACCCACTCAGAAAACTGGAAGTAGCACTGTGGCTCAAGAGGTAGAATGCTAGCCTTGAGCTGAAGAGCTAAGGGACAGAGTGCAGGCCCAGAGTTTAAGCCCCACAACCAAAAACAAAAAGTCAATTTTTGCTGGGTGCTGGTGGTTCATGCCTGTAATCCTGGCTACTCAGGAGGGTGAGATCTGAGGATCACAGTTCAAAGCCAGCAGGCAGGAAAGTCCCCATGAGACTCTTATCTCCAATTAACCACTCAAAAACTGGAAGTGGAGCTGTGGTGCAAGGGGGTAGATCACTAGCTTGAGCAAAAGAGCTCATGAACAGCATCCAGGCCCTGAGTTCAAGCCCCATAACCAACAAAAAGATCAAAAGTCAGTTTTCAAAGGTTCCTGCTTTTACTTTTTGGTCTTGGGAAAAACCACTGCAAGAGGTCACAATTGGGCTGGTGGCCACTCTCAGTGCCTTCTTTAGCTGTGCTGAACCCTGTTTGGGGACTTGAGTGGGGGCTGCTGTCTGCTGTCTGCTGTCCCTCTGACAGGGACCGTTCACCAGCACTGTGGAGTGGGAGGAAGTGTTTCATTCTTTCTCTGCCTGCTGAGGATAAAATTCACACATTCAGTCAAACACTGTGAGCAGAGTGCACCAGAAAGCAGCAGTGGAGAGAGGAGGAGCTACTGTTCTCTGCAGAGCCGAGTTCAGCATAAACAATCTGCTCGGAGGATCATTAAGTGTCCACTTGAGGAAATCAACACGTAATTGAAGCGGAGCCTGGCCGCCAGGCCAGCCACGCGGTCTCCAGTGAGGGCAGGCTTTGGCTGGTATGACAAGCAACAGCAGCCAGCCTCAGACTGGAGGAAATGGGAGCTTTGGAGATGTTTTATGGCTATTTTAAGAGCAAGGCATCTGAGAGGAGGAAACTCAAAAGCTCTTTATGAAAACCAAATTGCCCACTCTAGGCTTGACAGAACACGCTCATTTATTAGCTGATAAAACGCTGGAGTAGGGGGGGGGGCCTTGAGTCGCAATTATTTATCTTGAGAGCTGCCGAGTCCTGGGCCTGAAACCAGCTTATTAAGTGCCTCACAAACACCCTGACAGCTTTGGGAAGAACCAGTTTTGCCTAAACTGACAAGAATAACTTGTCCATGCACCGCCTCAGGCCCCGACAGGAGCCATCTATGATCCCATGGCAAACCCCAGCTTTT